ACATGATGCAATAAATTATCAAAATGTCATCGTATTTTTTCCGATCTTCATTGAGTTTCAACTGTTGATCTGAGCAAATCCAATGGTCAAGTTGTGTCCGCATGCAGTGCGGCAGAGTTGTGCATTGTGTGTACCAGAACGCGGTGCACAACGTGTGTGCATTGTGTTATAGATAACATGCACCGTCCACTAATATAGATAAGGTGTCCAGATTGGTTCTCAGGTTCACAGGTTAATATAGGTTCTCGCGCGCGCGCGCGCGCGCGCACACACACACACACACACACACACACACACACACATATATATATATATATATATATATATATATATAATTTTGTTAACCTGTTATGTTAAATTATTATTAACTACAAAGTATTTTTTTTAATAATAAAAATAATTAATAACAACAACAATAATAAATTGTACAAGTAATTTAAAAGTTAAATAAATAACACAATATATTTATGCATTTATATAGAGATCATTTTAAATGTATCACTTAAAAGTAAACAACTAATTTACTAAACATATTTCTATAATCAGTTAATACTATACGGTAATTAAATTCAAAAAATATTTAATTCAATAATGTCATAATTTGAATAAGACGATGTAGTAGGACTCTAACAAAAATATGTATATTTTAATATTTTAGTTTTAAGATTGTTATGTAATATAGTCTTTTCACTCTTTTGTATGTCTCTTTTTGTAAAGCTATCAGTTCCGTATAATGGATATGTTGTTATTTACTGCAACGAATATACTCTCAATGATTATAATAGCAATATTCATTAATTATTTGATTGTTTTTTTAGATCTAGGGGGGCAGGGGATACCCTAACAAGAAAGATAGCCTAGCTTCTTTCTCTCATAAATTGCACTCTAGAGACTCGAGTTCTATTCTCTTGAATAAGCTTTTCGATTCCAGTTAGGGAGGTTAGAACTTTCCTGTGATTTCTCTTATTCACATCCAAAGTTGCCAAAGTATCGGCAATTTTGTTTTGTTCTCGATAGATGCCCTGAATGAAAACTCTCCAATTCATGTTCGTCAACTTCTTAATCTCCTCGAGGTGCCTTTGGATAGGCCCTCTTTGGTCTGACTGTTTCTGTATCCAGATGACAATGTTCCTTGCATTCGATTGAACTTCTAAATTTCGAATATACCTATCTCAGGTCCATTCGATGGTTGATATAATACAATATATACTTACTATTTCAAGAAAAAAATATATATAATGGTGCGAATTAATTTGTTTGGCTAAATTATAATCAATGTGGAGTGATATACATGAATTTATTATATAAGATTGAGACATTATAGATAAAATCAATAAATAAATAAACCACAAACACAAACACTGACACAATATAGGTCATCCATATGGTTTGTCATATATATTGATAAGGAAGAGAGGTAGCGTCCAAGAAAAGGAGTGTTCCATGAATGATTGGGAGACTTAACCTCCCATATATAATGCCAATGCTGTGTGCCTAGTTACATTTTTATATATTGTGTAGTCTTCGTCATTCTTCTAAATTTACTAATTCAGTGCTCTATGATCTTGACATTTCAAAATTAAACAATTCCAGAAGACTACATCCAAGTTGATCAGGTTATTAACTTAATAATCATAAAATTATAATTCGATTCCTAGTAAAAGCGACCTATTGACTTTCTTGGTTTGAGTTGATCTTCACCTATGGACAAACTAAGTCGGTTTATCTCCTTATAGTAATTTACCGGCTGGGTTCACAATGTCGTGTTTACCCAGTGTACACCCTCAGCTAGTGATTTGTTATTCAACTTCATTTTAATTTATACAGAAGGTAATTTCATTACAACACCACTAAAGTATCATTCTATTTTTTCTTGAATAAAAAAAAATCAATATACACTCAATATGTAAGACATGATATACAATATACTCTCAATATGTGAGACTTGCAATTCAGTTTTATTTTATACATAATATAGTTTTATTACGACACCACTAAAGTATCATTCTTATTCAACTACTATACAATTTCACTTGACAGTATACACATTTAATATGTGAGACATGTTATGCATTTTTATTTTATACACAACATTATAGTTTCATTACAACACCACTAAAGTATCAATCTTTTTCAACTACAATTTCATTTTACAATATACACTCAATATGTGAGATTTGTTATTCAGTTTAATTTTATACACATTGTAGTTTCATTATAACATTACTAAAAAATAAAAAATTAGGCGCACCGCAAAACGTAATGACTATTGTTTCTTTTTATTAAAAGAAATGATATTACTTTAGATCATGGTCTATATAGTTGTGAGGATCATGATCCACTATATAACGATTCTTGTTGAGTTTAAGAGATGATGAATTAGATTTCTTTTAATGATGTTACAAGTTTAAAAAAATTCCAAATTATATTGGTCTAATAAAAAAATGAAATACTATTTTTTGCTATAAATAAGAGTACTATTATTTATTTATTTTTGTTGAACCCATAAAAAATAATTGATGTTTAATAATTAATACATCTATTCAGAAAATAAGTGATTAGAATAAACCCAAAAATAGATTTTAAAACATTAACAACCAACCAATAATAAAACTTGAACTTTAACAGGATTAAAAAAAAAAAAACATAAAATAATTTTTGAAGAGGATTGACCTAATAAACTTCACTATCAACTAACTTGGTCAAGGCTTATTGACAAAATATTATTCTTATATACTCCACAAATAAATAATTTAGAATATTGAAAAAAAAAAAAAAGAGAAAGAGAAGGGAAGGTATGCACTCGTTATATCGTGGACCATGGTTCAAAAATGGCGCCGTTACGTCTTAATGGAGTCCATATTTTTTGTGTGTTAATTACAAAATGAAATTACAGTGTATCTAAAATGAAACTGTATCACATATTATTTTTATATTATTAAATAAAACTGTAATTGAATTGAAATGAAACTGCAGTATACATAAAATGAAATTGAATAACAGTTTCACATATTTGAGTGTATATTGTCCAATGAAACTGTAGTTATATCGAAATGATATTGTAGTTGTGTTGTAATGAAACTATAGTGTATATAAAATGAAATTGGATAAAAATTTCACATATTTGAGTGTATAATGTCGAATGGAACTGTAGTTATATCGAAATGATACTGTAGTTGTGTTGTAATGAAACTATATTGTATATAAAATGAAACTGAATAACAATTTCACATACTTAGGTGTATAATGTCGAATGAAACTGTAGTTATATCGAAATGAAACTGTAGTTGTGTTGAAATGAAACTGCAATGCATATCAAATGAAATTGAATATATTATACAAAGCTACTTTATGCGGAACCGCGCAAACGGTAAAACGGGTACCGTTTCTTTTCATTAAAAGAAACAGCACCATTTTGGACCATGATCCACGGTATAATTTGCCGGAAGGTATGTGGTCAATTCATGTAATTGAATATATATGTCTCCTAGATAACTATATGGGTCATAATATTAGCGGTCCAACGAAAATACTTTGTAAGATTCAACCAACTATATTATTATTTTTAGAGCCAAAATAAATATAATTTTTTTTTTTTTTTGTAATAATAAGCTTTGCATTATCTAATATAATTTTATTAGATTAATTAATACTCCTTCATAAAGAATTGTCCATCCTTATGTGAAGAATATAATTTTTGGATATGAGAAAGTTTACATTTTTCTTTTTATTACAATTTAAAATATCTGTAGTATTGATTCAACATAATTATGACAACATCCTTGATTGAGATGAGATTCGAACAACCTTCAATTTGAAATGGTAACTGAGAAAGTTTATATTTAGACAATTGACATGTGTTACATGTAGACATCAAAGTATAACTCAACAAGAAATTTAAAAAAAAAAAAATTATGGTCGGTTTGATTTTGTAAAAAAAGGAATTGATAATTGTATTAAATTTAAATTTCATGATAAAGTAATTACTTCAAGCTAGGTGCATTTGGAAACCCGTAAAATGATATTATGCTCATTTTTCATAAAATGAATCAAACACACCAAGACAATTTGTTGGAATGCAACCAAACACTGAAAAGGAAAATGTTTTCTGAAAAATGATTCATTTTTCAAAAAACATTTTGCAGAAGTCATTTTCCTACTTTTCAAACACACCCTAAAATATTGAATTCATTATTTGATTGGTGAAAATAAGTTGTTGAGAATAATTAGTATAAAGGCATAAATATCTCTACACAATAAAGATACGTGTGGATAATATATAAATTCATGTTTTTGCATTTTTTTTTTCAAAAACGTACCGAAGAATAAAATAGCTAAAGAGACCAAGGAAATTATTTTCCTCAAATTTTAGAGATACGTTTTCTATTAGAATAAATTTTCTATCAACCAAGCAAAGATAAAGTATCTCTATTTTTTTATTTTTTATTTTTGGTTACATTTGAGAAATAATTTCTCCCATTAACTTATTTTTTTGTGAACCAAACTCACCGTACCCTACATTTATATTGTCAAAAAGTTTACATTAACTTGTGAAAGAGATTGGATAAGATATGATAAAAAAAAATTATAAAAATCATACAAAAACATATTACACTTTCTTAAATAATAGAAGATCTTTTAACATATTACATGCACTAAATGCATATGTAATCAATGTTTTACAAAAAAAAAAAAAAGAAGAAAAAGTATTACATGTATGCTATTGCAAACTAAATACTCTCTATTTAAATTTAATAAATGTATTTACATATGCATCTCGCAATGAGTAGATTATTTATAAAAAAAAGTTCTATGATGACAATTCTAGTCACATTAATTAAACGACCATAAGATTTGAATATTCTTAATTTGAATCAATCACTTATAACTAATGTATATTCTTTGTCCACTATGATCACGAGGAAATGAACATCTTAGCAATTAACATATTTTGTAGAAATAACTAAATCCAGATTAGTACTATATTTAAGCTCTGAAATTTTCTGACAAATTTAGCTGCGCTTTTTGTCTCTCTCTCCTTCTCTCTCTCTGCACACACAAGACTGTTGTGGCTGCACATTCTGTCTCTCTCACTCTTTGATCTATAAAGCATCCACCCCTCTCCCCTCTCCCCAAACCTCTACTCCTCTTCTACCGAAATACACATTTTCCTCACGTTAAACAGACCCGACCCGTATACAAAATGGACCAGCTTCAGTCCATGTTCCGGCCGCCGGAGACGCCGAGGGAGCCCATGGAATTTCTGTCACGTTCTTGGAGCGTCTCTGCTCTTGAAATCTCCAAAGCTCTAGCTCCTCCTCTTCCTCCTCCTCCTCAGCTTCTCGGTAAGAGCTTTGCCGGAAGCACTTCCTCCGCCGGCGGGGGAGGTGGAGCCACCATCCCGGAGGACATCATCGGCGAGTTCGAAGATGTCGCCGCCACTGTTTCCGGCAACCCTTTTTCCTTCGCTTCCTCCGAGACTTCTCAGCTTATCATGGAATGCATTATGTCTCAGTCTGTAAGCATCCATTGCCCACATACATGTGTATATATCTATATAATATAATGAGACAGAGAGATTGAAAAATGAAAACAATTTGACTTGTAAATAGAACTGTATCTATGCTTTGTCTCTATCTGCTTCTTCTGGGTTGGAATTATCTGCTTTGTTTTTTCCTCTGTTTATTCCCTATCTCTTATTATCCATTTTTTTAATACCTTAATGAATTTCTTACAAAATCAAAAGGTCTCGGAAGCAGTAATGTGCGACAACAGTAGTTTCTTGTTTTATGGGGAAAACAAAAAGAAAAATTCTAATCACATATATAGCAGTGTAGCACTCTTCCTCTCTGGGTTCTTTCTATTTTATATTTTATTCAAAAATCATTCTTCGAGGCCATTTTAAATTACTCTGGAAATTCTCTTTCTTACTAACCTGCAAGTCTTGAAATCTTGAATCATGGTATTTCTACCTTTCTTTTAAGGTTTTGTTTGTTATTTCAAATACTAAAATTAATGTTGTGTTTGTTTAACAGCAGGATGTATCACCACGCACATCTGGCCGGCTCTCTCACAGCAGTGGGCCTCTCACTGACAGCCCACCCGTCTCCCCTTCCGAAATGGATGACTCAAAGGTTTCTAATCTCTCTCTCTGTGTGTTTATATATTTGTATGTAGACGCATATAATTGCAAATTATGAAAGGGTTGTGTTAAAAACTTGTCTGGTATACAAAGCACGAGTTCTGAAGTTGCAGGCTGAAACATGTTTATGTCTCTCTGTTCATCAGCTTTCTCTTTAACCCACAAAGCCCACAGTGTGGAAATTAAATAAAGCAGATGCTTTCTCATTTCTATTCCCATTCCCCATAACCCCATTCCTTTCCTTTCCATGGTCGGTCTCATACTTAGCTTTTCTCAGAATTTAGTGTGATTTCTAGACTGTTAATGTGTTTCTGATTCTCATTTTAATTTGCATGGTTTTGTTGGTTTAGTAAAAAGTGAAATTTTACTGTAATAGGGTGGGGGAGGATAATTGCTGAGTTACAATACAGAATTAGAGCATTTCTATGGTATAAGAATGATTCTCATAAGTTCTTGATATGATGGCCAAGCTTATTGGGAAGATAAAAAATTTCTTGAGGTTGCCATTGGTTCAATGTGGTCTCTGAAATTTGGTCCTTTTTTCATTCACCAAAGAAAAAAATGGTCCAAATAATCTAGTGGGATTATTAATTCCAAAATTAATGCTGAAACAGGGTAGATATACCGGCGTGTGCTCCATCTCAACTAAAAGCCTAAGCTGATAGTTGGATTGCACATTAATGGTTATATGCTCAACAGGGGGCAGTGTTCTGCAAATTGCATAAACCAAAGGGTTTAACAAAGTTTCTGCATAAAATTCTGCTAGTAGCTGACTACTAATGCTTGTTTTGTGTGTAGTTTTGTCGCATAAGCAACCCGCCAGTGAACAACCAATACAAGGGCGGCAGTGCTACGGTGGCTGTAGCTGCAACTGGGGGTGGGAAGACGGTAGGGAGGTGGTTGAAGGACAGGAAGGAGAAGAAGAAAGAGGAGACGAGGGCCCACAATGCACAATTACACGCAGCCATTTCGGTTGCTGGTGTTGCGGCTGCTGTGGCTGCTATGGCTGCCGCCACTGCTGCCTCGTCGGGAGCGGGCAAAGACGAGCACGTGGCTAAAACTAATATGGCTGTAGCCTCTGCCGCCACCCTCGTGGCGGCTCAGTGCGTTGAAGCGGCTGAATCGATGGGAGCTGAGCGGGAGCACCTGGCATCCGTGGTTAGTTCAGCTGTAAATGTTCGATCACCCGGGGATATCATGACACTCACTGCTGCTGCAGCTACAGGTGCTTTAATTTCCCGTTGCCTCTTATGATGCTTCAATTTATGTTAAATTTTGCCTTAAATTTATCGTGTCAAATTTTGCAGCTCTTCGAGGTGCGGCTACACTAAAGGCTCGAGCACTAAAGGAAGTGTGGAATATAGCTGCGGTAATTCCAGTCGATAAAAGAACCGGTGGTAGCAATGGGAGCAATGGTAGTAATGGCAGTTCAAGTGGCGAGCTTGCGCCTGAAGAGAACTTTCTCGGGATTTGCAGCCGGGAATTGCTTTCCAGAGGTTCTGAGCTACTAAAGCGCACTCGTAAAGGTTGTTAGTTGTTCATTTTCTTAACTGATCAAAGATTTTGGAAAAGGAATTAGTTAAACAGTTAGGCCATAAACTTCGAATCTACAAAGTTGGAATTCTAGCAATAGGTTGAAACGGGGGAACGATTAAATTCAATTTAAACGATTCCATTGCTCATTGCAGGTGATCTTCATTGGAAGATAGTATCTGTGTATATCAACAGAATGGGTCAGGTGAGCTTTTTTGTTATTTTTTCTCGTTTAACTGTTGATGTGTCTTTAGGTGAAAAAAACAGTGGTTTCAAATGCTTGAAGTTACAATAATTAGAAACTTCTTTAACAAAATTTGCAACTATAAAAGCTAAAGCTCTGCTTGATACAATCAAAAGAATCTGCTTTTATTTTAATCTTTTTATCCTTAAAATGCAATATAAACTTTGACGTTTCTTTTCTATAGGTGATGCTAAAAATGAAGAGCAGACATGTCGCTGGGACCATAACGAAAAAGAAAAAGAGTAAGTAGTGTTCTTACTTGCTCTACTTTTGTTTTGTCTCTCTAATGATGTCGAACACAATTAGATATGGGTCCCCTTCCCCTTCTGCCTGGGGATTTGAGAAAAGCAGAATGCAATTGATTGAATAAAAGATGACAAAAGGCGCCCCGCCCCGCCCCCTTTAACTTTCATATCCTTACTTGAATGCATGTTTGGTGTAGATGTGGTGATAGAGGTCATGAAAAACCTCCCGGCCTGGCCGGGGCGGCACCTGGTGGAGGGCGGTGACAACTTCCGGTACTTCGCTCTGAAGACCGTCACGCGGGGAGTAGTCGAATTCGAGTGCCGGGATCAAAGGGAGCACGACGTTTGGACTCAAGGCGTGTCGAGGCTGTTGGCAATTGCAGCAGAGAGGAACAACAACAACAACAACAACAACAGGAACAACGTATATTGAACAATCAAAAATACTACTTAGATGATTATGGTATTAGCAGAATTAACATAATATTGAAAATTGGGTTGGGGTTGTTTTCTACTTTTGATTTCCAGGTGTTGTTAATGTATAAAGGGATGTAAGGTTTATCACAAAAGGGTCAGCTTTGCTTTGGAGATTGTAGTTTTTGGCTTTTGTTTTTGTTTTTTTGATCTGCTAAAGTAAAGTGAAGATCCTAAGTAAAGCAAGAAAACCATGTGAAGTATGTCTGTGTTTTTAATATTTGTGGTGTAAGAAAAGGAGGATCTTGGACTGACTGCTTCAGTCAAAAAGAAGGCTAAGGATCCTGTTCTTGCTGGCTGGCTATAATATTCTTGAAGATAAAGACATGCACTTAATCATCCTTTGTGTTTTTGTTTATGTTTAACGTTCATAGGATTAGGACTTGTGATCTAACTGGGAACTGTTCTTGTGAGCTGTGATATATAGCTTGGATTGTCTTTTAGTACATAATTACAGACTAAAAGATTAGGGAATATGTACAAACATAAAAAGTTTTATGAGTTGTAATGGTACTAATTACTAATTAGTGAGTTTTAACTTTTAGTGACTTTTACTTGCCCACATTTAATTAGAAAACTATTGATCATGTGATACCATGCTAAGCATATAAGGTTTGTCATTTTTCTTTTACTTACTTTACATTTCCTGTTGATGTTTAGGTGTTACCTATCTTGATAATACGACGTGAAAAATTGTAATTTATTGTTAATTTATGACATACTCATAGAGATGACAATGGAGCGGAGGTGAGAAATATTTTCTATTGTAGGAATGTTAATTTTAGCCTGAAATTGACAGGTTGGTGAGATAAAACAAAAGAATTTTAGAGTTAGGGCAAAAGGAAAAATAGTCTGATAAAAAAATTGATAAATCCGATCACCCAAACAGGCTAAATTGAAATTTAGTGGGATGGGCGGATAGGATGAGCCACACAAAGCGCAAATTATGCTGTGCAACCATGTGCACCATGTATGGTGCACACGGTTGCAAAAACGACGTCGTTTTGACTAAAAACGCGCGTCCCACTTAAAAAAAAAAAAAAAAAAACAGGTTCGATTCCCGGCATAGCATTTTTTTGTGCATAATTTGAATTATGTATCCACAAATTCATAACTATATATCCACAGTGAATGAATAACACAAAATCCAGAATGAATGAACTAAATATCCACAATGAGTGAACAACATAATGCTGTTGAGGAGAATCGAAATTGATTTTTTTTTTTTTTAAATGGGATGCGCGTTTTTAGTCAAAACAACATCGTTTTGCAACCGTGTGCACCATGCATGGTGCACAACATAACTATTGCACACAAAGCTATTGTGTTTCACAAATAATGTAGAACAAAATATACATGTGAGTTTGTAGGTCAGTTTATTTTAATAAATATATTCACAAATTAATTACATAATAAATTATTTTTAATAAAAATAAATAAAAAAAAATAAAAACTTATTATAATTATATTGGGCTTTATATGTTCCTAGTCTGATTTAGTACTGGTCTATTGACCCAACTCCTTTCGCTGGTCCAATTGCTCAGTATTCTAGGCCCAAAAATGCTTGGACATATCAATACTAATGTGACAAAAAAAATATTAGAAATTGTTATCAAATGTGTAAAATAATAATACTTGGAGATCAAAGGTGAAAATGAGCTTATAGTAAAAGTGAAAATAATCCCTTTCAGAAAATAAGGAGTTTAAGAAGCAAAATTCACAGTGTAAGGTTTCAACCAATTCTAGTTTGACAATTTTTTAGAGTAATACCTTTATGAATAGTATGTTCGGGTTCTTGATTTCAGATTATAGAGAGGGACTGAGGGAGTGCTGAGAAGATCATGGCAGAGAATACAAAGAGGTTTTTTGGATAGGAAATTTTGATAATTTATTTACATTTGAATAATAATTCACTTTGATCCCTTGCCGGTTTAACTTTAGGCCCTAATTATATAGGAGACACCTTTAAGTCTGGCATGTACTATATTTAGACTAATCTCTATCCACACTGGAGAGCAAAGTGTTGATTATATTGATTTTGTCAAACGAGTCTCTGATCTTTTAAAGGATGAGAGTGTACGGCCACTCTGTCAATTAAGCAGCCTAAGTTGGTTACGTTCACCCTTTATTAATAGCAGACAATAAGTACTTAATATGTAATTGTAGTCTCTAGCTCCATAATTTGAATATCGTTTTGGATCAGGGTCTACCAAGGGCATGGTCCATGATATAATTTGCCAGTAAATGACAATTGCGCAAATTATGCCGTGCACATGGTTGCAAAAACGGCGTCGTTTTGATTAAAAACGATGCGTCCGACTTAAAAAAAAAACAGTTTCGATTACTGTTAACGTCGTTATGTTGTGCATAATTTAAACTATATATCCAGAATTTATGAACTATATATCCAGAATGAATGAACTATATATCCAGAATGAATGAACTATATAGTTCAAATTATGCACAACATAATGCTGTTAACGACAATCGAAACTGTATTTTTTTTAAAGTTGAACATCAAAACGACATCGTTTTTACAACCGTGTGCACCACAGTTGCACAGCATAACGCTTCATGATAATTGTTATACTATGGACCAAGGTCTATATTGTATTGTGAACCCTAGTTGGTCTGTGGAATTATGGACCAACATCACTGCACTCACTGAGAATGTTTTGAATAAAGCCCAAACTGGAAGCCCCTGTGGAGTGAATAGTACAAAGAGGTGGGGGTTATAAGGGCCACACAAAATTACTTTATCCCAACTCCCAAGCAAACAGCATAGACTTTAGACTTGGACTCTCATCAGCTAGCCATGGCAGTGACTTTCTCATCATCTTCTTCTACTGCTACTAACATCTTTGATGTTGGCAAATACACAGTTGAGTTGGTGAGTGTTGAACCCCATAAATGCACTTCACACCCCCCTCCAAAGCCACTCTTGATTGCCACCCCTTCAGAAGCTTCTGCAGGGGCTTTCCCAATCTTCTTGTTTCTTCATGGCTATCTTTTCTACAACTCTTTCTACTCTCAGCTCATTCAACACATCGCTTCTCATGGCTTCATTGTTGTTGCTCCCCAGGTATGTATTTGTTTCGTGGTTTCAACTTCACTTTACCTACCTGCCTGCCTTATCTTATCTTCTCTTGTTCACACCTGAATCATTATTATTTCCTAATTCTTGCGGTTTATATAATTATATATATCTTTTTTAAGTATATATATGTGGCTAATTAACACCCGGATTGTTTATTTATTCACCGAATTGTGTGCCCCTTAAAAGAAACCATGCCAGAGAAGAAGTTGGGAAAATATTTAGGAAGAGACAGGGCAATGATCAATGTTATGCTCCAATTGATGTCAAGTGCCACGACTATAGTGGCACTGGCAGAATTGATCCACGACTTTTGAACCTTGTAATTTTAGTCCATGACTATTGATTTTTTTTGTAAAAATGGTCTTTCCGGTCACTTTTTCGTCAAAATTTCACCGAAAAAAAAAAGTTCTCTATTTTTAGCCGGGTTAAAATTGACATTTTACTTATCTCAAAAAATTAAAAGAAAAAAATTGATATTTGACTACATACAATATTACTGGGCTACATACTACTGCCCTAGGCGACGGCTGGAGCAGGCAGGGCTCTCAGTAAGCGGCGGAGCGGCCGTGACGTTCTCCGGACTAGTTGGGTTATCCGGCAGAAGCATTGGAGTGGTACATGTACTCCGCTGCCTAGGACAGTAGTATGTAGCCCAGTAATATTGTATGTAGTCAAATATCAATTTTTTTCTTTTAATTTTTTGAGATAAGTAAAATGTCAATTTTAACCCAGTTAAAAATGAAGATTTTTTTTTTCCGGTGAAATTTTGACGGAAAAGTGGTCGGAAGGACCATTTTTGCAAAAAAATCAATAGTTGTGGACTAAAATTGCAAGGTTCAAAAGTCGTGGATCAATTCTGCCAGTGCCACTATAGTCGTGGGACTAAAAGTGCAAAAAACTCTGTCAAGTGCTAACTAACCTAATTGCTTTCATAGTTTTTGGCATAATCATGGTTGAAAAAATCGTTAGACGCTCCTCGGGCGCTCGGGGTACCTAGGCGGGGATTAATCAGTGTCTAGGCGCCCGAATATTTTTTATTTTTAAAAAAATTGTTTAAATTTTTAAAATTTTTTAAGACTGGATAATTATAAACTATTTAATATTTTAATATTTAATTTAATACTAAAATATTAAATATTAACTAAAAAACATAGAGTTTGAACAATTTAGGGTTATTTCGCTCAAAATGACACATCGTTTTGAGTTAAATAACCTATTTAAAAAAGAAGGAAACAGTAGCTAATGGGTCGACTAGGCGGCCTAGTCGGTGCCTAGGAGGCCAAGTTGGTGCCTAGGAAGTCTAGGCGGACAGCACCTACGCGACCTAGGCGGCCTAGTCGGCCGCCTAGCCGGCCAACTGCCTAGATCACCGATTATGGTGATACGCTAGGCGGCCGGCTAGTGCCTAGCGCCTTGGCGGGGATTAATCGGTGCCTAGGCAGGATTTTTGCAACATTGGGCATAATTATGTTGAGATTGACAATGTTAGATTGTTAGCTAGGACTTAAATTAGTTTGTTGGTTAGGTTTAATTTGAATATTTGATGCAGCTATATAGTGTAGCAGGGGCAGATGCAACTGAAGAGATAAAATGCACAGCCCAAATCACAAACTGGCTCCCTGAAGGACTACACAATTTCCTTCCTCCCCATGTCCACCCAAACACACAAAAGATAGCTTTGGGAGGCCATAGCCGCGGGGGGAAAGTTGCATTCGGGCTAGCTCTAGGCAAGATAGCCAGGACTGATCTCAAACTCTCGGCCTTGATAGGCGTGGACCCTGTTGATGGAATGGACAAAGGGAAACAGACTCCCCCTCCTGTCCTAACCTACATTCCCCAGTCCTTTGATCTTGGCATGGCTGTGATGGTGATCGGGTCAGGCCTCGGGGAGGTGAAGAGGAACCCTCTATTCCCTCCTTGCGCCCCCAAGGGGGTGAACCACCGGGATTTCTACCAGGAGTGTCGTGGACCGGCTTGTTACTTTGTGGCTAAAGACTATGGGCATGTTGACATGCTTGATGATGAGACTGGAGGGGTTCGCGGGAAGGCTACTTATTGTTTGTGCAAGAATGGGAAGGAGAGGGCGGCGATGAGGGCGTTTGTTGGGGGCGCTGTGGTGGCTTTCTTGAGAGGTTATTTGGAAGGAGATTTCAGCTCACTGGCAGCCATTAGAGACAGGCATGAAGAAATTGCACCAGTTGAGCTCCAGACAGTAGCTTTCCAAGAAAATTAAACCACTAAACATATATGGTTGGTTGCTTATAATACTTATACATATGGAGGAGAAAGGGAAAATTTGTTGCAAATCAATGGTGAGTAATGTGTATGTATTACCACAATGAATAGCTGAATTAATGTTCCAAGAAAACCAGTAAAGTAAACTTGCTTATTGAGGAGAAAGGGAAGGTTTAATTTGTTGCAAATCAATGGAGAGTTATGTGTGTGTATTGCCACAATGAATAGCTGAATTAATGTTTCAAGAAACAATTGAAGTACTAAAATTGTATTTTCTCTAAAAATAATTATTTAACTCAATATGGAATAATTTTTGGGCCGGCAGCCTTGCATGCCACCCACACATTTTATGTTTACAATTACAAGACCAAATAAATTGGAAGTTTTCAAAACACATTGAATTTGTACGGGCATAAATTAAGCTCAATGTCTTTGTGATGATATTTGGTATAAAGAGTTATTATATTGATTGGTATTGAAGTGTTAAATAGATGAGTTAGTTTGGTGCATGTGAACATGCAACACCAAATATGGCACTGCATGCGCTATTCACTTTGCAGTTGGCACATAATTGGTCTAAGTTAATACTCAATATAATCTTCGATTATTATAGTTTTACTCAATTTAGTCTTAAATAACTTTTTGTGCTTAATTTAGTTTTCGACTTTGATGATTTTTCATAATTTAATCATTTATCAAAAATTGTGTTAGTTGACGGTTAGATATAGAGTCCTAATGATAATTTCTCATCCTTCATCCCATTTTGGATCATTTCTTCTTCTTCCCTTTATTAAGATCCACACAACTAACAAAATTAAAATACATCAAAATGAGATAAAAAAAAATATTAAAAACAAAATATGAAATATAATTCATTAGATAAAATAATTTGAATATAAACTATATAATAAAAACACTCATATCACTATTAATATTTAAAAACCGAGAAAAGAACACAATGTTACAAATAAAAATTCCACAAAATATGAAATATAATAATTAAATAAAATAGTTCGAATAATAGCAAATATATTATAAATCACTAATATCATTATTAATATTACAAATGAGATTAAAAACAAAATGTTACAAATAAAAAAATTCAACTAGAAATAATCTCGATATAAATTCATGTTGTAAGATTTGAATCCCTAACATTTAAAAAAAAAAATTAAATATATTACCATCTAAGCTAACTCATTTTTCAGTTAAATTTATGTAAATTTATTATTATTAGTTAATTATTTATATACAAGGAACATATACATACAATATATATAAATAGGATAATGGGATGAGGGGAGTGGAGGCAGTTGCTCCCACTCTCTTTTCATTGTGGCTCCACCATTGAATGTATAAATAAAATTTGATGTAATTGAATTAAAAAATAATATTTTGTATAAGAATATTTACTATGATGTAAAATTTTGTGTTTTGGATTGAAAATGTCAAAGTGAAGCAACACATGCAAGGATCGGTATTAATTACCATTAATGAGAGGGATCCTAGGTAGGTTCTATACAAAATTTTACATTTTATTTGAAAATTGTTGTAATGTTGTTGTTTGTGCCCGTTAGCCTATAGCTCCTAATCGGTGAGTTTCAGGATTGAATCAACAATAAGAAGTAATAGACAAAGAGAAGGGAGTGATATGATTTCATTTACATGGCTTCCTCTTACAAAAGGATTACACACATATATAATATAGAATAATAATGGCATACATAATGAGACATTAATATGTCTGTTACAAACGTTACAAAATAATGGCCACCATTAATATTTAATTACAACACTCCCCCTTGGACATTATTTGTCCATAATCTTGCCTCGTTAAAAACTTGCTAGGAAAACCCTGTGGGAAAAACCTATACAAGAAAAGAGTACAAGGTATAGTATATTTAAATATATTCATGCCTCGTTAAAAACTTCACTAGGAAAATCACATGGGAAAAACCTAATTTGAAGAAAAGAGTACATGATATTTGTAAACTCATATATTGTACTGATTGCCTCGTTAAAAACCTTAACTTAAGAAAACCTCGTGGGAAAAGCTTAGTTAAGGGAAAAAAGAGCACAATTATAAGCCTTCAAGGCATAATCTTCAGGATATTTGGGGTTTGTTTACTTAAGTCTTTATATACAACTTCCCCATTAATATATCATACTCATACCTCATTAAAAAAAAAAAAAACCACATGGTATGTATATGCTGCAAAAGGTATAACTATTAGTCATTTTAAAACCCAATCTACGGGATTGACTCGAGTGAATGTACTTCCTGTCTCCCCCTGAAGATAACAATCTTCAAATTCTACATTGCCTGTAAAATCATTGTTTCTAAAGGGTGTAGAGAAGGGATATGGTACAATTTTCAAGATTGTCATTAGAATTTATCATATTTTCTCATGATCATCTGGACCAATAAAATTATTTATAGTTTATATTTTATTGCTCCCCTAAATATAATAATTTTTCTTTACCTACACATATCAATCTTATGGATATTTTGTAGGTATACATTTGCTAACTTGTCACTGGAGCAAACCTTCTGTACAAATATTTTATCACTCTTCTGGAGTTCATGTGGATCAAGGTATTTTATATCATGAAAAACTATATACGTTTTTATATGTAACAAGTATGATGACTTCATGCCAAAAAGCATCAATACGGGTATTTTTACCTTGATTTTGCTATTCGTTATCTTATCTCATAACTTAACATCATCAAACTCTTTATATATTTCACTGATGTTTACACCATAAATATTGACTGAGATAATAAATAAGTCCATTATCAACTCTTTATTGAGCACATAATGGTACATATTATTCCTTCTATATGAGGATAATAACCTCATTCGCAACTCTCTAAAAAGTAAATAATGACACTTAAATAAATCCTTATTTCGGGAATTATAAATCCATTAGGGATTTTTCAAGATAAACTAGAGGATATGTTTAGGATATTTTCAAGAGGAAACAATATTTGAGTTTTCCAATCACATATAACATTACTAGGCATGTTTATGATAATATATTTTCATACTTTGTTATGGGGGAGAAAATACATTTAAAAGATCATAGTTAGTAACTTACTAACTTTTATACTTCTTATTTTGTGATTTTCATTCATCACATTTTGAGAAAATCCATCAAGGATTTTAAATATAAGTAACAAGTTACCCATATAAATATGTGATAACTATAACTATTAGCTACATATCTAATTTATTTACTGCTAGTTTTATTGAATAGCGGAATATAAAGCCATGACTAATATTGGGTCTCTGCGAAAACCCTCCACTCGCCTTTTATTAGCGAATTTTGATTTGTATGCCTTAATTGCTATTTTCTATGAAAACAGTTAGCACGCTGCAGGCGTTATACTACTATTTTCATTTCTGGATCCAGACTTAAGTATTTATGAGCAATAGAGGCAAAATATGTTGTCGACAACTGTAACAGCTTTGTAGATATCTTTTATACACATGGCAATTTTGTATCAACCAAATATATGGCATTTCCCAAGATTATTTGAATTTGGTTGTTCCGCTTCCCCAGTATTTTAGTTGTTTGGTGCACCTACAATTTCACTGGGGGTTTTCGCCTTCTAGACGAATATCTTCAGGATAAAATTTTTATATTTTTGGAGTGACGAAATTTCTATACTAGATCTAGTTTTGTAAATTCTTAAACCAATATATGCTTCCTGCATAATGGTAGAAATATTTAGTCCTAGTTGGGGATTTCAACTCTTAATATATATGAAATATTTTTTATGGACTTAGTCACTCTTTGAGATTTCTAGCAGATAATTTGTTCAATGTCTGAACTTCTGGTTCTATAAGGCTAGTACATGGGTTTGAAGATTTTTATCAATTTCTCGGCATTTAATTAATTAGAAATTTCAAACCTCCCCCTAATGCCGAGAAAAGATCTTATAATGCAACCAACATCACTGTTGATTTCTCATGATGAGATATAGCTAGAAGGGTTGCATACTAAAAAAAATTAACGCAGATAGGAAAATGCATCTTGTACTAGCGTATGCGATATGTAGTGGATCAGCATATTGGTTTTTCAATTTTGAAGGTCCCTAACAAAATATTTCCTCCAAAATTGCTTAATTTGCTTTCCGGACAAAGTTGTTTTGAGATTTTGATTATAAAAAATGATATTGTCTATCTTAAATAATTGTTTCATGACATTGAGAGAAACAAGTAGAGTAATATTGCCTTCCCACAAATTTCAAAATTGACATGAATAGCCAATATATAAAAAAAATGTCGTAAATAATATGGGCAATAATATGACCATCATAGTTGACAATGAGATATGCATACACCAAATATCCATCAGGGATTTACTTAGGGTCTATAGATCCTTTTAGATCAAATATTCATAACTGATGGTTTAGACCAAAAGGTGTCAAAAAAAATTAGTGATGTAAGTGTTTACCTCTGGCAAAATTTTATTAAAAATATACACCATTATTTTGTTTTGATACTCAGATTTGAGATATTCAAGATTCAAGACTCATGCCATATAATTTTATGATAAAATTAGCACCATCAATATGCACGAATTTTGACAAATAAATTATTGACTTCCAAATCAAAATTAAGTCAATTTGACATTAGTCATATATATTGTCCTAGTGCTATTATCATATTGTCCTAGTGATAATAGTCAATTTGACTTCCAGCGGATTCTATTTATGGATCCAATCTTCTTTATTAAAATAAAATAAAATACTCCGTAAAACTTTTCCCTTAAAGAAACAATTTGCCAAAATTAAGAAAAATGTAAATGGCAAATGGGAAGAGAAAGAGGAAAACGTAGCCTTATCATCAGTTATCCCTTTACCCTAAAAATTAGGGATTCATTCTGTCAAAAACACAATCAAATTGTTCATCCCTTATCAAATATTTTTAATCTACATCCAAACGCAAGGGATGTAGAGGGAGAGAGAGGGAGAGAGAAAGCAAACCGCATGGAGAGAGGAAGGTCGTCGGCCGAGGGGAAGCAGCGCCTCTTGCCGCCATCGCCCGAGACACACATCAATCATTACCGAACCCACATCCCTGGCTTCTACACATCTGAAATAGCAGAGCTCTCATCTCAAAGACCCAGAAAGCTCGCCACCACAGCGCCATAGGAAGCGAGAAGAAAACTCCGGCTCAAACCAGAGCCGCAATCTCCACCAGCCCTCTGCCGGAGCGCCGTGCGATCGCGGG